AAGAGAAAAGCTTTGCTGTTCAGTGTTTGTGCACAAAAGCCTTCCTGCTTAAGCGCCTGGTCTCTGCGCCTCCTCTCTTGCTGGTGCTACAGTAGAAACACCCTCACTATTGGCAGGTGTCAGAATAGAGTTGAATAAATGACTAAATTTCTCGTGGCTGTGATGATGTTCAGTTTTATTATTATTTTATTTTCGCGGCAGCGTCCTGATCGGCTCTAAATTGTGTCAGTGTTTAGAGTGGTGTGTGGGCGGCTGCATGCATTTATTCATCCCACCGTCTTGTCATGTAAAATCTGCAATCCATCCACATGTTACTCATTCCTATATATTTACAGTCGCGTTCAATAAGTTAGAATATTACTGAAAAGTTCAATTATTTCAGTAAACCGGTTCACATCATGTGCCTTAATTACACTCAGACTGATGTCTGCAAGCATCAATGTACTTATTTTAGTTATTTATGATGATTTCCTGCTTACAGTTGATGACATTATGCGTACACTGATAGATTTTTATTAAGTTTACATTTCTTTTTATTGGTATGATTTCATATTAGATCTTTAATGCCATGTTTTCATCTTAATTTGCAGAAATACATGCCTAAAAATCTATGTAATAATTTTGTGTAGTGAATTGAGTTACTGCAATAAATCAACTCTTCCATAATATTCACATTTATTCAAAATGCCTGTATTTCATGACTTTATTTTCCAGAATCTGGAAGCAAACCAGCACAACACAGGTGTGTACTTTCATAAACTGATCTCTTATAATCTTCCAGGACTTATTTTAGATTAATTGCACACAGATTACTGTTTGTAAGCTTTTATATATGGTAATTTTGATGATTTTCCGATGCTTAAGATTAGAATATTATATCAAATGACATTAAATTGCAATAAAAAAAGATACAGAAACATGTATAAAGCTCTGAAAATAAAATTAAGAGAACACTTAAAATGATCAGTTCCTCTGATTTCACTTTTTATAGGTTTATGTTTGAGTAAAATGACCATTATTTTATTTTATGAACTATTGACAACATGTCTTTGAAATTCCAAACAAAAATTTTGTATTTATTTGCAGAAAATAAGAAATGGTCAAAGTAACAACAAAGATGCAATGCTTTCAGAGCTGAAATAATGGAAAGAAAAAAAGTTCATATTCATTTAGAAAGAATAAAACTAATGTTTTCACTCAGAAAGAGTTCAGAAATCAGTCTTTGGAGGAATAACCAGGAGGTTTTCAATGGGGTTCAGTGCAGTGGGCTCTTCATTGTTTCCATATATATATATATATATGATGATTACCTGATTACCATCCTGCCATGTTGGCTTTGACAAACACAACGTTGCTTCATACCCACAGGCACTTTGTTGTCTGAGTTCTATATAGGTGATGTTATACGTCTGTTCATTTGTAATTTCTGCTCTTTCTGTTGCTCTTACACAAACACTCACAAATGCAGGCTGGATAAAGTGCTGCACTGTGCACCATGCACTCCCCCTAGTTTCATTTAGCCCTTTATCTGGCCAGAAATTGACTGCATTCAAGAGTGGAATGGATGTAATAATTGCATGCGCTCTGTAACATGCTCTACAAATGTGTTTTTTGAAGGAAAAAAAAGGGTTGGTTTCAAGGTATTACTAATGGCTCTCTGCCAAGGATTCAAGGCCCTTTCTTACTGTATTGTTTGTTTGCAGCAGTCAAACGGAGCCTCCCTCCGTCGTGTTTTCAACCGGCGGTGAAGATGGAGCTTTGAGATTCTGGAAAAGGAAAAAAAAACACACACACACACTCAATTCGGCGTTTCAATTTTGAGCGGCATGACAAAAGGAGAATTTCAGTGAAGTTACGTTTACAGGCAACAGATGGTTGGTAAGACCTTTTGTAATATGTAGGAACCCTGCAGAGATTTACACAAGAGAAAATCTCTTTGACCCAGGTCCAATGTGTTTGTGTGATCTAACCAAAATATACCTATTTTAACAGGAGCTTTGCAAACGCTTCAGCATGAATAAGCCGCTGTTCCAAGCATCACAGCGTTTAAACCATTTAAACCATGCAGCAGCGTATTAGTTTAGCAGAAGTCGGATTTCATTTGCTTTGATCGTTATAAAAGTAGCTGAGCTGGTCAGTGCACTGCAAAAACACCAAATCTCACCAAGTATTTTTAAAATAAGACAAAACTAACTTATAAGTAACTTTTCAGCAAGATGTATGAGCTTCTTTAGAGTCAATAATTCCTTAATATTTGTGAAAAAGTTCTTGTTCCACTGGAAGATTATTTTTCCCATGTGGTTCAGGAAATAATCTGCCAGTTAAACTGTTCAATTTTCATCAATATTTAGGAATTTCTTACTTAAAATTACCTCCAATGTCTTGCTTAAAAGTTACTTGTTATATTTTTCTTATTCAAAGTGAACAAATGTATTTGCACTACAAACCAGACCAAAAGTCATTGATTTGGTGTTTTTTCACTGCAGATCTTAAACAAGTTTTACTTTATTTAGAAGTTGAGTACTTTCACATAGTTTCACATAAATGAGACTTCCAGTTAAGTTTATGATACAAAACAACTCCTACAAATTTAACTTCAGTCTCAACCAGTTTGAAAAAACTGGATATTTTTTAAATCCAGACACTTGTACATATCGCCCCCTACACCAATGCTGACCTGGGCATCTGCCCAAGTTGTGTCTAAGCAGGGCTGCACTGCAAAAACACAAAATCTTACCAAGAATTTGCGTCTAGTTTGTAGTGCAAATATCTTACTTCACTTAAATTAGACAAAACTGACTTGAAAATAACTTTCTTGCAAGATATAAGAGCTTGTTTTAAGTAAATAATTCCTTAATATTGATTTTTAAAAATAGTACTAGTTCCACTGGCAGATTTTTTTCCTTATAAACAGACATTTTCTGTACTTTTTCACTCCTATGTCTTGCTCAAAAAACTACTGATAACCAGTAGCTTTTGGACAAAGTACCCAAAAAATTGTACTCAAGTAAAAGTAGCGCTACTTCAATATATTTTTACTCCAGTCATAATAAAAAGTAGCCATCCAAGAAATTACTTGAGTAAAAGTAAAAAAGTATTTGATAAAAACTCTATTCAAGTACTGAGTAACTGATCAAATGATCACTCATCTAATATTTAAAAATTACAGAATCAGATGGACCAAAATATAAAGTTACCTGAAAATTTTGGTATTTTAAGAACCAAAATGACAATAATTTATATAAATAACAAAAAATAACAAGTCAGACCAAGAAACTTTAACACTTTTTCTGTGTCTGGTAGATTTCTGGTTAAAACATGTTTGTTTTTCATTCAGTGGGTAGAAAATCCAGACATTTTACTCAAGAGTAGAAATACTTCATAGTAAAACTAAAAAAAGCCGTACGGCGTAGTAAAAATACTCCCTTGTTTCAAATAAGTTACTCAAGTAAATGTAACTAGTTACTACCCAACTCTGCTTGTAAATTAGTTTTGTGTTATTTTGAATGTACTAAGATATTTGCACTATGATCCGTGTGTGTGCGTGCGTGTGTGTGCGTGTGTGCGTGTGTGCGTGTGCGTGTGTGCGTGCGTGCGTGCGCGTGTGTGCGTGTGTGTGTGTGTGTGTGTGTGTGTGTGTGCGTGCGTGCGTGTGCGTGTGTGTGTGTGTGTGTGCGCGTGTGCGTGTGCGTGCGTGCGTGCGTGCGTGCATGCGCACCGCTTGGCCCCAGATCGCTGCTGCCTGTTTTGGCTCTCCTCTCTCCATGTCAGCTGTGCTGTGTGACTGAAAGGCACTGGATTACGTACAGTGGGGGCCAATGGGTCAGCGGATAAGAAGTCTTCTCTGTTACCACAAATCCACAGATTAAACGTAGCGTCGAGAGCTAGTGCTGCCCCGGGGGCAAATGGGTCTGAAACACAACTCTGGCAGAGATTTGGCTTAACTCTTCTGTCGCTGTGGAGCCACGTGGCAACATGTCAGACTTTTTTAAATGTGTCCGGGTCATTCTGGGGTTATTGGTACCATTGCTGATGTGATATCTTAATTGGAAAGTTAATCCTGAGCTGAGGCAGCTGACAGTATGTCTGAACGGTACAGAGAGAAATCATCCTGTAACATCAGCATCTTCTGCTCGCCTCAGGAAATGTGCAGCAGCAGCATTATGAGTCTGAATTCACCGCCTGCCTGCTTTTATTCTGCAGAAAGAGTAAACTCAGAGTGTGTTAATGCCGCAGTGTTAAGATGAGATAAAGTGAGGAGGAGCAGAAGGAAAGGCAGCAGATGGGTGTAGAGAAAGGTGCGGTAGGTCTGCATGGGATGGTAGCAGGAGGGCCGTTGGTGACAGGCTCTTGTAGCGTCTCGTCTGCTCCAGTGATCCCAGGGAATCTGGGTCATTTCTAGCCTGTTCGTAACTGTTCCCGCTCCTTTTCCTCCCTTCCCCCCCTCCGCCCTGGGCGAGCTGCGACCCAGCTACATGCTAATGATGACAGAAAGTAAATGTGCTGCTATCGCAAAAAGAAACCGAGCGGCGGAGGTGGGCAGAGTACCCAAAGATTGAGAAGCACTTCACCATATCTCAAGTAAAAGTAAAAAGTAGCCAGGAATTTACATTTACCCAATTACATTTACTTGAGTAACTCTTTTGAAAAAAAAAACTTTTGTGAGTATTTGTACTTTTTATTTTTACTAGAGTAATTTTATTATGAAGTATTTCTACTCTTGAGTAAAATGTCTGGATTTTCTACCCACTGAATGAAAAACAAACATGTTTTAACCAAAATTCACCAGACACAGAAAAATACACCTGGAGTTTTTGTTAAAGTTTCATAAGTTTTTTTTTATTGAAAGAAACTGATTTGAAAGAAAAAAAAATCATTTTGCCTGATTTTGTTACTCATACGAATTGTTGTAATTTTTGTCCTTAAAATACCAACATTTCCACTTAACTTTACATTTTGGTCCATCTGATTATGTAATTTTTAAATGATTGATAATTTGATCAATGCTTTTTACCAAATACTTTGTTACTCTTACTTGACTTACTGCCCAGCTCTACCATGCATTAAACACCTCCTCTGTTATCTTTAGCTTAAATAAGCTAAAACTGCACATAAACTTTAATAGGTTAAATTTAACCATTTTCAACTTTTTTCAGACTAAATGATGGAACCAAGAAGCAAAAATCATTTGCTGCAGCTTGAAATCATTTTTACACCATTTTTGGCGCCCCTTCCAGCAGCGCCTCTATGTAGTGCACGCCCATTTTTTTCAACGCTATCACTTCCGGTACGTCTCAGTTTTCCTCTGTTTGTTTTTTTCTGTTTAGCTTTGAATGTTTTGGATTCACTCCCAACCATTTTACTCCTATGATAAAAACAATATCCTCCATCAATTAGGTTCCAACATCATGGCTCCTGCAGCAGACGGATCCGCTGGGCAGGAACCATGCACCATCATTTCCTCTTTCCACGAATCCACAGTTGGACTGGTACCTGACTGGATCTTCATTTCCTGAGGGACAGTAAAAAAAAAAAAACTCTTGACTTGGTTGCCAAATACATCTCAACTCAGACAAACGCTTCCATCTTCAGCAAACCCTGTTTTAGGATGAAACTATCTGAGTGTTTCCTGCACAGATTATGCTTCAGATTTGCTGCGCAGCAGAAATGTGCTGCAGTTCTTCATGCACTCAGCTCCACAAAGGCTCCAACATCATCTCCTGGATTAATCACTGAATCCCGTTTTGTAGCTTCTGAGGTGAAGAATGCGGACACATTATAGATCAAATCATTTACACGTGCAGAAACTCAATGCAGAAAATGCTGACTAGAAATATTTTCACACTATTTTTGGCGCCCCCTCTAACGCAGCGCCCCTTTGTCGCATATAGTGCGCACACACTTTTTGCTGCTACTTCCAATACGTCTCTGTTTTCATCTGGATCTTTTTTTTTTCTTTCTGTTTATCTTTGAATGATGTTTTGTATTTATTCCCATCTTATCAATTTTTTACTTTGATTTATTCATTTTTTAAGTTTTCTATGGTTTTTGCTTGGATCGTCTGCCCCACTGCTTCCATTTCTTTCCTTTTACGATCTGCATATTATGTTTGGACCAGCATTTTTCTCCACGCTCTTAATTTGAACGAGTTTTAAAATCCTTTTTGTTGTTTCAGCTGATAATTGTCTTGTTAAAAACTCCGCTGAGTTCTTCAGCAGAATTGGATTTGTGTAAGAAATGACAACTACAGACTGATTCCACATTTTTACTCTAGTTTTGTCGTTTGTTTATTGATAATTGTTTGGTAAACATCTGCGTCAGAGCATTGACGTTGTTCTCTAACGCGCCAAGATTTCACTTAAAGCAGCTCTAATTTTCTCTCTTTGTTCTTTTATGAAGGCTAGCGGTTCTTCTTAAACTTTACAGACGATTTTATTGCAAAAACAGATTAAAACAACAATTTTAAACGCTTAAAAAGTTTTACAGTATCTCTAAATTTCTGTTTTTGAAACAATATGCTTTCGCCTTTACCACTTATTTCACTTTCAGTCAAATTTTATATTTGATCTTTCTGCAAATCATGAAAGTTGCTGCTGCTGCGTAGAAGTGAAATAACTTCTATCACAGATTTGATTGATTTTTCTGGTGTTTCTTTCTATAATCAGCAGTTCAATGCGCCAAAAAAAGAGAAAAAAGATATAATAAAAACCAACGCAAGAAACAAGTCGTGCTGTTGTTTGAAGGCTGCAGCAATGGCTCTATGATTCATGGAGTAAACGGCCAAGAAAGGGAAAAAAATAGTCGTCTTTGAATGAGATGCACTGTGTTGTTGCAGTGAATGTGCGGAGATATTGGTGTCAGGAGGCCTATCTCCTGCTGACACAGTGACACAGGCCTGGACGCACACACACAGCCAGCCTTGCATCACTTGAGCCGCAAATTAATCTTTACAGAAATAGAAGGTTGCATGAAACATAGTAAATGCAAGCGAAAGGTTAATGTGGGCAGTAAATGAATAAAAACGGCGGATTTGCAAGGTTTTCAGCGCGTAAACTTAGATGAACGCTGGATTATACGAGCAGAAAATCACTTTGAGGTGAAAAGAAAAGTACACAGATCATCTTTTGTTCTTTTAAAAATGTTTTAAATTGGTCCTGTATATAAAGCTTTGTGTACTACTGTTATTTGCGACCCTGCGTTTAAGAGAGCCTAGCTTATATTTAATAGAAGCTTCTTCTATAGCATTGCAGTCCTGGTGAATTCAGATTGGGGCCGGATGCCTGCAGACATTAAAGATTTACTGACAGCTAAATATTTCAGGACGGCACCTTGTCAGTCGCCCTCACAATTTATCCCCCCTTCGTCTGATGGAGGATGCCATCCTTTATTTACACCCGGCTGATTAAATGTGGGCGGAAACAACTGAAAAGTTAATTTTCTTAATTATAAGCTCTTTCTTAACACAGTGAAGTGTGGGCGCTCGTTTTATTTTGTTGTTATTTTGGGGGATTTTAATGTTTGGTGTTGAATGAACCGGTATGAGCAGCATTTATTGCATTTCGTAACTGAATCATGAAAAAATAAATAAATAAGAAAATCCCGAAAGGGTGAAATTAGAGGGAGTGTGCGGCGAGTGCGCGCACGCGTCCTCTCTCTCTCTCTCTCTCTCTCTCTCTCTCTCTCTCTCTCTCTCTCTCCCCATAGAGAGAGAGAGAGTTAGTGAGTGGAGGGGGGTATCTGTGAAAATAATATCAGGCTTTTCCGTCAGAATGAACTTTACTACTGTATCCAGCCATGAAATAATCTGACCCGACACTTCAAACCATCTGCGCTATCTATCCGCCCTCTTATTTACTAAATCAGCCTGCGCACAAAACGGAGTGTGTCTGATAGCCCACTAAAAAACCCGAGGAGCCTGCCGGGGCCGTCATAATCCCACACACACACGGACACACACATATTCCTCCTCTGCTGTGTTTTTTGCGCATCACAAATTGAACGCTGTCGACACTGATGGAGGAAAATAAAGAAAACAATAATTACATACAGGAAGTCTGTTTTCTTATTTATTTAACATCATAAAAATGTAGCTCGAAATGTAAATATTGGAGAGATGAAGATTTAAAAAACCAAAAATAAAAAAATAAAAATTAATGGGATTATTGTGAAATAGGGAATTTAACCGATGCGTAAAGAATACAAATTAAACACCGAGCGTAATGATGCGTAAGGCTGCGTTATAAATCCCAGTGATCACCCTTATCGCCACAGGCTCTGGCTAAATATGATATTGTCTGTTTCATTCTGACATTATCTTTTTTTATCTTGGGGGCAGCAGGGCCGTTTGTTTCCTGCGCAGTTGTGTCATTTCGCTGCGTAAAGCCGCCTTAACGCGCTCTAACGTTAAACCGGCTGTGCGTCTGTTCGCATATCCGCTGCGCACACTTTGTGCGACATAAAGAAGGCGCATACAGGGAAGGAAGGACAGAAGGGAAGAAGGGAGGAAGGAAGGAAGCGTCGAAACGTTTCAGGACGCGCACCAAAATAAAAAAAGGGTCAAAATGTTGATATTGTGTTTGAAAAGGGAGGCGCTGAGCTCTCCTTTCCGCCCGATTGGCCGGATTTGACAGTGATTGACGTGCATCCATGGCAACCGCGCAGCCAATCTGCCAAGTCCAATAGGAAATCATCTGAGGGGGCTTGACTAGCTTTTTCTCTCCCCCCTCCTCACCCCTCCCTTAAAAATACATTTCAGCTCCGGCTTTAATTCTTCCCTGCATTCAGTCCCAGGCTACCTTGAAAAATACACCGCCGCTCGGGCTTTAAAGGCTCCAGCATCTTCGGCCAAGTTCACCGCGGCGGAGTGAGGATGCGGTAGCCGAGGCCCCGCACAGCATCGTCCCTCCTCAGCGGCGCTTCCCTCGGCTGCTCAGACGGGTTGGTCCGCTAACTTTGGGATTTGCCTTGGTTTTTTTTTTTTCTTCTTCTTCTTTCTTTTTTTTTTTGGTGCCTTGGATTGCCTCGGCGCACGGGGAGAAGACGCGGGGGAAAGGGGGGGG